CGGCGGAGCGGCCCGGGCGCCTGAGAGGACGAAAAGGGCGCGCCGAAGCCTGCCGCTCCGTATTTGGGAGTTTCGGGGCGGGGCGCGAAGTCCACTTCTGGGGACTACGGAGCGGCTCCCGGACCCGCCGGCCTGAAGGCGAGGCGAGGCTCTGCTGACTCTGGGGCCGCCCAGGGCTGCGGCCGCACCCGCCCCCGTTTGGAGGGTGTTCCCCGAAGGCGGCGACAGCTCGCAGCCTGGGAGACGTCCGGAGCGCCCGAGCCGCCGCGAGAGGCGACCTGACGGACGTGCCGCGGGACGGGGCGCCACCTGTGCACCGCGGCGCACCGCTTCGGGCCCTTCAGCCCGTGGCCGCCGCGCCGAGTGCCTGCGGAGCCCGCTTTGTTTCAAGGCGGCTCCCCACAGGCAGCCGCCGGGACGCGGGGAAGACTCGGAGGCGCGGCGCTGAGAGCCTCGGCGGGGCCTGTCCCGGGCGCGCTGCTGGCGGAGAGGGAAGCTGTGCGCCCGCGGGCAGAGGCCGGGACCGACTCCGCCTCGAGCACCTTGTCCGAAGGAGGAGCGGAGCGCGCAGAGTTGGCCTTGCCCCGCTTTTGTTTGTGATTCGTTGCCGCCAGCAACCTGCCCTCCGGTGTGGGCGAGGGTGAGGGGCAGGCCGCGGCTGACTTTGAGGAAATAGCTGGAGAGCCGGGGCCAGACCTGGGCCCTCCTTGTGAAACCTAAATGCAGGCTTCAGCCTGTGGAGAAATGGAAGAAGGAAGTAGGTGCGGGTCAGGGAGACTGAAAGTTTATAAAGTAGGATAGAGGAGAGCATCCGTGTTTGCTAACTGACAGCTGCTATTTAAAAAAAAGCAGAACATTTTTATTGATTTTGAGAGAGAGAGAGAGAGAGAGAGAGAGAGAGAGAGAGAGAGGTGTGTGTGTGTGAGAGAAACAGCCACAGGCTGACGCCTGCACGAGGGATCCAGCCCGAAGGGGCCTGTGCCCTGACAGGGAATTGAACTGAAAACCGCCCAGCAGAGCCACACCGTCCAGGGCAGCTATTTTTTTTTTTTTCTTCTTAACCCTCACCAGAGCATATGTTCATTGATTTTGGAGGAAAAGGAGGGGAGAAAGAGGGAGAAACGTCTGTGTGAAAGAGGAACACGGATTGGTTGTCGCCGGTTCTTGCCAGACCCAGGATCAAACCCGCAGCCTAAGCATGTGCCCTGAGGGAATCAAACCCTTTGGTGTGCGTCACAAGCTGCAACCAACTGAGCCACCCCCTCAGGCTGGTGGCTGCTGTTTTATGAGTGCTTACCATATTCGGTTAAGATTTCAGAGACATCATAACTAATTTCACACCTAACCATGTTATTTTTTAAAAATACACTTTTATTGATTTCAGAGAGGAAGGGAGACGGAGAGAGAGAGAATCATTGATCGGCTGTCTCCTGTGCACCCTGCCGCGGGATGGAGCCCGAAACCTGGGCATGTGCCCTGACGGGAATGGAACCGTGGCCTCCTGTTCGTGGGTCGGCACTCAGCCACTGTGCTGCAGCAGCCAGGCCCTAACCATGTTTTTGTCGTTGTTGTTAATCCTCACCCAAGGATATTTTTCCCATTGATTTCTTAGAGAGTGGAAGAGAGAGGGAAAGACAGAGAGATCAATGTGAGAGTAACACATTGATTGGTTTCCTCCTGCAGGTACCCTGATTAAGGCCCAGGAGGAGCCTGCAAGCTCGGTATGTACCCTTGATGGCAATCAAACCCGTGACCCTTTGGACCCTTTGGTCTGCAGGCTGACAGTCTATCCACTGAGCCAAACCGGCTAGGGCTCTAACCATGTTATTTTATCCTCATTGCTAATCATAATAGGACAAAACATGATGCTATGTGCCAGATATTGTTCTAAGTGGTTTCCATATAGTAACTCTTAATCCTCAATGACGTGGGTTTTGTTATTCTTATTTTTAAAAGGAAGAAAATGAGGTGCTGAAAAACAACTTACCTAATCACAAAGCTTACAAGTGTCTGACTGGAATTTGAACTCAGTTTGATTCCAGTTCATGCTCCTAATTATCCTGCTATACCGGTGGATATTTATTTAAAAGGCTCTTATAGAGTATTTAATTTGTGTCTGTCAGTGTGCTATGTCCTGGGACTATGGGAACAAATAAGATGTAAGGTCCCACCTTTTAGAACTTGTTTTAGCAGAAGAAGTGGATATTAAACACAGCTTCCTAAATAATTGTAGATTATTAGTGTGCCAAATCCTTTGAAGGAGTGAGACATATGTGCATGAATAATGGGGATAGTCAGGAAAAGTTTTTCTCTGAGGAAGTGACATTTAAGATGAAGTGAAGGATGGTAGAGTTCATTTGGTCAACGAGAGGCAGTGAGGAGTTATCCAGCCAGAGAAAAGAGCTGGAAGTGAAGGAGGAGCACGGCACACTCAAGAAACAGCCATTATCACTGCAGAATGGTGAATGGGGGAGAAGGAGGAGGTGAGGCTAGCTGTGTCAGCAAGTGTCAGGAGGCAACGTTTTACAGGCCATGGCAAGGATTTTGATTATACCGTGATGAGTTTTGTGGTTTAAAAAAAACAAACTCTCAGTGTTATATTAAAACATGTAAGGGTAGAACCTGTAGGCAGGGGAAAAAAGGACGGTGTCAAGAGAATTCAATTATAAAAAGGTCATTGAAAACATTGATTTTTTTTTTTTTACCCCCTTGCAGATGAAAAAGTGCTTACTTAACTATTCTAGTTTCTGAACTGATATTCAGTTGACAGTTAAGGGGAAAAAAATTTTTTTAAGGGAAATCTTAATGTTATATGTTAAACTCTAGCCTACCCAATGAAGATTTTTAATTTAATTTTTTTATTAAAACTTTTGCCGAAACCGGTTTGGCTCAGTGGATAGAGCGTCGGCCTGCGGACTGAAAGGTCCCTGGTTCGATTCCGGTCAAGGGCATGTACCTGGGTTGCAGGCACATCCCTAGTAGGAGATGTGCAGGAGGCAGCTGATGTTTCTAACTCTCTATCTCTCTCCCTTCCTCTCTGTAAAAAATCAATAAAAAACAAAAAACTTTTACTGTAGAAAGATACTGATTACAGGATTTTTAGAGCTCTTTTAAACTCTGCTTAAACTTCAGACTAATTGTTTGCATAATTATACATGTAACTAGAGGCCCGGTGCACAAAAATTTGTGCACTTGGGGGAGAAGGGGGGGTCCCTCAGCCTGGCCTGTGCCCTCTCGCAGTCTGGGACCCCTCGGGAGATAACGACCTGCTGGCTTAGACCTGCTCCCAGGTGACAGAGGGCAGGCCCAATCCCTAGGTGCAACCCCTGGTCGGAGTCAGAGCAGGGCTGATTGGGGAGTTGGGGCGCCACCCCCTGTCATGCACAGCAGGGCGGATTGGGAGGTTGCGATGCCACCCTCAGTCACGCTCAGGGTAGGGCCAATTGGGGGGTTGGGGCACCACCCCCTGTCACACTCAAGGCAGGGTCGATGGGGAGGTTGCGGCGCCACCCCCTGTCACCCACAGAGCAGGGCCAATCAGGGGATTGGAGCGCTGCCCCCTGTCACGCACAGAGCAGGGCCCATCGGGGGTTGGGGCTCCGTACCCTGTCACACACAGAGCAGGGCCAATCGGGGTTGGGCACAGCCCCCTGTCACGCACAGAGCAGGGCCCATCGGGGGTTGGGGCTCCGTACCCTGTCACACACAGAGCAGAGTGGATCAGGGGGTTGGGGCGCCGCCCTCTATCACCCACAGAGCAGGGCCGATCAGGGGGTTGGGGCGCTGCCACTGTCACACTCAGGGCAGGGCCGATGGGGAGGTTATGGCTCTACCCCATCACACACAGAGTGGGGCCCGTGGCGGAGGGGGTTGGGGCGCCACCCTCTATCACCCACAGAGCAGGGCCGATCAGGGGGTTGGGGCGCCGCCACTGTCACACTCCGGGCAGGGCCAATGGGGAGGTTATGGCTCTACCCTGTCACACACAGAGCAGGGCCTGTGGGGGAGAGGGGGTGTTGGGGCGCCGCACCCTGTCACACACAGAGCAGGGCCGATCAGGGGGTTGGGATGCTGCACCCTGTCACACACAGAGCTGCAGGGCGATCAGGGGGTTTGGTCGCTGCCCCCTGTCACGCTGATCCGGTGCCAGGAGGCCTCGCGGCTCCGCTGATCCCGATGCTGGGAGGCATATTACCCTTTTACTATATAGGATAGAGGCCTGGGGGCCTGCTAGTTTGCCCTGAAGGGTGTCCTGGATCAGGGTGGGGGTCCCCACTGGGGTGCCTGGCCAGCCTGGGTGAGGGGATGATGGCTGTTTGCAGCTGGTCACACACCCTTCAGAGTGGGGGTCCCCACTGGGGTGCCTGGCCAGTCTAGGTGAGGGGCTGAGGGCTGTTTTCCGGCTGGCGGTTGACTGAAGCTCCCAACCGCTCCTTTTTTTCTTTTTTTTTTTTTTTTTAATTCTGGGCCAGCTTTAGCTCTGGCTCTAGCTCTGAGGCTTCCGCTGCTGAAAGCAGGTATCTGGTTTGTTTGGGTTCTATAATCGAAACAATGTATAACTCCAGCTCTGAGATCCCTGAGGCTGAAAGCTGGTTTCTGGGGTTTTGTTTAGCTTCTATATTTGTTACAAAGTTTCAAGCTGCCAGCTCAGAGGCCGGCAGCGGCAGGCAGGGAATGTTGGAGTCCTCTGTCACTGAAGCAAACAAGCCTCATGTTCGCTTCCAGCTGCCTGGCTGCCGGCCACCATCTTGGCTGACAGTTAATTTGCATATCACCCTGATTAGCCATATGCTAATTACCATGTTTCTCTTTTATTAGATTAGATTATGGATGGCATTCTACCTTAGGTCTTTCATTTTTGTCTATTTATTAAAATTAACATGCATTGCATTTTCTTATTCTGAATTCATCACCTGCCTTATTCTTTCTTAATAGTATCACCATCCTTCAGTTACCTGATCTCAACATCTAAGTCACCTTTGACTCCTTTCTTCCTCTTGCCCTGATGGCCAATTACATACAAAAATCCTATTGAATCTAATTCTATAGTCAGTATCTTGTATCTTTTTCCTCCCCTGCTTACTGTTAGCTCTAGTTCAGACTTCACTAGCTCTTGTTTCTGGGTTGCCTGCCACCAGATGTCTTCTACAGTCTGTCTCATATATTGCAACTAGGTTGATTTTCTTTTCTCTTTTTTAAAAAAATATGTTTTATTGATTTTTTACAGAGGAAGGGAGAGGGATAGAGAGTTAGAAATATTGATGAGAAAGAAACATCAATCAGCTGTTTTCTGCACACACCCTACTGGGGATGTGCCCACAACCAAGGTACATGCCCTTGACCAGAATCGAACCTGGGACCCTTCAGTCCACAGGCTGACGCTCTATCCACTGAGCCAAACCGGTTAGGGCTAGGTTGGTTTTCTTAAAGCACAACTCTCCATTGCTTCCCATTGGATAGGTAATAAAATTTGAGCTTCAGTTAGCTGTTGATACATAGCAAACCACACCCAAACTTAGTGACTTAGTACAACAATTTTATTTATTAAGAGTTTTGTGAGTCAGGATATTGGGAAGGGCTCACCTGGGCCATGTTTTTTCTCATCCACATGCTGTCAAACGAGATGGCTGGGGCTGGAGGACCCACTTCCAAAATGGCTTCTTCATTCCCAAGCCTTGTCAGAGACTGCAGGAAGACTGGGTTCTACTGGCCTTTCCCTCTCCATGTTGTGTGTCAGGGCTTTCCACATGGTGACTGGGCTTCAAGAGCCCAAGATGGAAGCTGCTGCATCCTTTAAAGGCTAAGTCTGGAGCTGGCACAACATTCAATTTAGCTGAAATACTGCTATCTCTGTTAAACATTTCCTGACTGCCTGCCCTTCCCAATTGGAATAGTCTTTTTATTGCACTAATGACTTTATACTTTTTAGATAGTTAATTATATGAATACTAGAGACCCAGTGCATGGGATTCATGCACTAGTGGGGGGTGTGGCCTGCAGGGATCAGCCCACTGTGGGAGCAGCCACTCATTCTGGTCAACCTAGCAGCACTCTCATTGTGGGAGCGCACTGACCACCAGGGGGCAGCTCCTGCATTGAGCGTCTGCCCCCTGGTGGTCAGTGTGTGTCATATCCACCGGTTGACTAGTCGTTCTGGTTGTTCCGCCATTCGATCGCTGGGCTTTTATTATATAGGATAGGGTTTTCCTATTGATGGGACTCTCAAGTTCTTTGAGGCAAGATCCATGTTGTATTTTTTGATATTTATTCACCATGATGTATAACATTATTTACACCATGTGGCAGGCTCACAATAAATATTTGTTGAATTTTTTTACTGCATTTTAATTTTAAGTGTTAATGTAAATAATGCCAATTTAGTATAGAAAAATCAGAAAATATAAGAAAGCAAAAAATATAAACTTTAAACTTACTACTTAGAAATAGCCATTATTAACTTTTTGTTGTGTTGATTTAATATTGATTAAATGTTAGTACAGGTTTAGAAAGAATAGATATCCAAATACTGGTTAAGAAGCTAGAATTTGAATGAAGAGCAAAATTCATTTATAGACACTTGAAAAATATGTTAGGAGGAGGCATTGTGTGGGGCTGGTATGATGAGCATGTCAGCTTTTCCCAGCCTGTACTTGACTCTGCTTTGCCCACCTTTCCCTGGGAATGTTCAATGATGAGAGAGAATCATTGATCGGCCACCTCCTGCACGCCCCCACTGGGGATCGAGTCCGCAACCCGGTCATGTGCCCTTGATCAGAATTGAACCCAGGACCCTTCAGTCCACAGGCCGACACTCTATCCACCGAGCCAAACCGGCTAGGGCATGTGCTAATTTTTTGTTTTATTTTGGAAGCATTAACTGATATTTGACTATAAAATATAGTCATAAACATAATTTTTATAATAAAGGGAAGAGGCAAGAACTGAAATCATCTTTTTTTAGGTGGCATTTCTTATTTCTGGATTTCACTTTTGTTTAACTATTTTCTTCAGTTGTGTGATCAAGAAGTGAAAGACATAGTTTCTTGCTACTTCCAGAGGGAAAACAAAGTATCTTTTATAGAGAGAAGTAAGGGTTTTACTGTGAATAGTTTTAATACTAGTGAAAAGTAACTTGTAAGAGAAAAAATACACTCATCCCCCCCTTGTTTGGCTGCATTGCCAACTCTTATTATAAACACTGCATCTACTGTATACTTGTGATAAAGCTCTTGTTTTGATGGCTTTTACCATACACAAAATGTCTCTCTCTCTCTCTCTCTCTCTCTCTCTCTCTCTATTTATATATATATATATATATATATATATACATACACACATATATATATATGTACACACACAAACACACGTATTTTATTCCTCACCTGAAGATATTTTGGGGTGTTTTTTTAAAAAGTATATTTTATTGATTTTTCTACAGAGGGGAAGAAGAGAGGGATAGAGCTAGAAACATCGATGAGAGAGAAACACCTACC